GTCTGAATCATCAAATTTTTCTGAAACTCTCTGAATTGATTCACAGCATTCTGATTCAATTCAGAGAAATTAAAGCATCTCCTGATTCAATGCAGAATTGGAAATTCAGCTGCAGAATCAAACTGGATCCCCACTGAATTGAATCAGTGACTGAAGCTTTGCACAGCCCTAGAAGCAGCCCTTATCAGGCTTGTCCCTGAGGCCAGACTCTGCCTGGGCCAGCACCTCAGGCTGGGGGCAAGGGGAGGGAATTAAACTCCCCTGTCTCTGGGTATGGGAACCCAGTTGGGGTCCATCCAGCTTTCCCTCCTCTTGCTCAGCAGCTGAGGGCCTGGACAAAGTCAGCTGGCATGGCTCTCTTATTTGCCCAGGGCTCGGGCTTGGGCTGGGGCTGCAGCAGGGGCTGCGGGACTGAATCCAGCTGGCCTGTGGGTGTTGCTGAGGGCAGAGTCATTGGGGCAGGTGGGCCGGGGGCCACAGGGCTGCATGGTCAGACTGCTCCTGGCTCCCTGTGTTGCCCTGAGGTGTCAGGCCAGTGCTCAGGATCTCAATATTGTGCTGTTAGGAGAGTGTGGTGTACAACTGCACATCCACACATAAAAATCAAGTAAGCACACTAGGTGCATACATCCTCACTAGGCATACATACTCACACTAGCAACTCAGATACACACACGTCCAAAATAACCATTCTAGGTACATGTACACCTATCACCAATTTAAGCCCATACACGCTACACACACCAAATTTAGACAGAATCAGTTACCAACACCTGCATATCCAATACACATACATGGATTACTAATTCATATACCACACACACAATGATATCTATATATGTGTATATATATATATATATATATATATGTGTGTGTACTCACTAATTCACATATATACCACCCACCTACACATATACACAGGTGAGTTCCTAAGTTGGGTGTTGTGATGTGTGTGTATGTATGTGTTTGGTGTACTTGGAATACCTGGAGAAAGTTTAAGGTAAGAAATTAGAAGTGTAGGGAATGAAAGTTGCTGGGAGTGAAAGTTACCGGGACCAGGATTAGAACCAGTAGACTAGAGGGACCAGGGCTGAAGAACTGAGGCTTGGGGGTAACTTTAGGTTACTTGAGCTTAATTGATTAAAAGACAATGCCCAAAGCCTGCAGAACAGGGGAGCGATGCTGGCACAGAGGCTGGGACTGGAGCCAGAGCTACGGGGGAGCTGAAAAGGTAGATGGATGCACGCATGCACACACAATGGCAGCAGGGGTTAGAGAGGCTTGGTGCAGGGGCTGAAGTCCACTGAAGTCCATGAGGAGAGAGAGAGAGAGTCCAAATTGTAGGAGGGGGTGTGCAGGTAATATCTACCTATCCGAGGCTGAAAGTTGATCCTCGATGGCCACACAGGTAAGCCCATGGGGTCAGGACCCTTCCCAGCCCACTGCAGCTCTGTAACAGCCGAGGCCAGCTCAGAGGTGCTGGCAAGCCCTGAGCCCATCAGCCACCACCGCCACACCCAGTGGGCTCCAGCTACACAAGCACCCCCCCACCAAGTGGTACAGCATGGCCGCTGCAGCGGCAGCTGGAGGTGAGGGGGGAAGAACAGCCCCACACCCTAGCCAGCCCACAGGTAGATGGGGTGGTGGGGCTGGTTGTGAAACTGCACAAGACAGGGGGCACAGTATGGGTGGCTGCCAGGCTCAGGGCTTGCCAACACCTCCAAGCTGGCCCAGGAAGCCTGTTCCCCAGCCATCCCCCATCTGTGCTGCTGGGCTTGGCAGTCATGCAGCCACAGTGGGCTGGGAAGGGTCCTGCCCCCATGGGCCACCCTGTAGAGCCCTACCCAGTAGACTTGGGCTCCATGACAGTCCTGCCCGGCTTGGGTGCATGGAGCCACTAAGCTTCCAGGGCCCCAGCTGTAGCTGCAGCCTGCTGGGAAAGACCCAGACCTGGGCTGGCCCCTGTCTCCACCCTCAGCAAGTGAGGTAGGTGGATGGTGGGGCCATGCCAGCTGTCTTTGGCCATGCTCCCTCCTCTGCTACTGGACTGGGGAGGTGGAAAATGGGTGACAGGGGCTGCAGTCTCCAGAGAGCGGGGTAATAAACCCCATCCCTGCTCCCTCTGCTTCAGGAGACCATGCCTCTGGCCATGCCCCTTCCCCTGCTCTGGCTAGAGAGCAGAGGGAAGGGGCCAGCCCAGAACTCTGGACCAGGAAGCACTGTCCTGCTCAGGGCTGCAAAGCATCTGGGGTGCTGGGGGACTCTGATTTAACTTAAACCAGGAAGGGGTCTGGGACAGAAGTTGCATAAACCACTTTGACCCAGATCAGTTAAGTGTAACAAGGTTTATCTTAAACCAGTTTCAGCCATTTTGAAACTGGTTTATGTGCAGTGAGCTTCTGTTCTGTTACACGTTTAAACCAGTTTCTGATCACGTAAGCCAGTTTGCATGTAACTTATGTCCCTAGCCTAAGAGGCAAAGCAGACCAACAGAATAGCTTCCTTAGGCAAACAGAGGCTACCTTTGATTGTGGTGCACAAAATATTTTTATATTCTACTCTTGCAAACACTGAACTGGAAAGGGTCTCCAGGATCACAGTACAGTCCTCTGTCTGAAAGCAATCATTTCTTCAAAACAGTCCAAAAGAACATCAGTTCCAGTTGCCCTTGCATAGCAAGGGGTTGTAATATTATTGTCCATTTCTTCTTAAACCACTAAGAGAGTTTTTAATAGTGAGATGTCTAAAATGTTTTGTACAGATTGATTAGGAATAAATCCATGCAAAACATAGCTGTTTTTCTGTATCAACTGATAAATCATGTTACCCCTTTTTCCTTCTCATGGGATCTTATAATATAGAAATAAAACTTGAAAGTTGTTCAAGTATTAGGAAGTTCATGCTGGTCACTATGTACTCATGAAAAGAATTACATTTTGTCTGAATAACTCTGCCTCATTTTAGAGTCTCAGTGAGCACTTGTAGTTAGGTAGTCCCATAAGATTGGTAGAGATTCAGATTCCCAAATGTTTAAATATTTATTGGTCTAACTGCATTTGATAGTTTGGTGACAGGATTTGCTTTCATTTTTAATTAAGTATTTAATCATTAATTATTATTGATTTACCCATTGACCTCAAGAAAATGAGTTTGAGACAGTACAGGATTTCAGATTCATCTATTGAGACTCCTTAATCTTTTGAGTACTGACTGGGTTAAGATATAAAGCAATTCATTATTTACATACATATAAAAAAAGCCCCCCCCCCCCGATATTCTACCGTTAGGGATCTGCCAATTCCCAACTGCTTGTATGCACTCTTTAACTTTGTTCAGTCCTAATAGTTAGAATATGAATCTCACTCTCCTAGGCTGAGTCCATTACCCACTAGGCTATTTTGTAAAAGGTGAGTACCACCATTAGCCCCTCACCCTCAAACCAACTTCGTGTTCTGGATCCCATCTGGATGGGAATACTGAATATGCAGCCCTTAACCAAACCATCTAAATTCCAGCTATGGGGTAGGGAGTGGGGGAGGGGGCAGGCTAGCAGGGCCTGCAGCAGGGCTTGGTGGGGTCCAGGAGGGTTTGGCAGAATTAGGGTGGCTACTGGGGTCCATTAGTGGGTTTACTTAGACTGGGTTGACCATTTTTATATTTTTCTAACTTTCCTGAACTTCTGTAAATGTCATGCTTAGATTGACTTAACTAAGTGTATGCTTCACATCTGGGTGCACTAAATTTGATCAGGAGGTCATTTTTAATGCAATCTAACCTCCCTGTATGTACCATCAGAGTCTGTGCTCTCTAGATTACCTTCTGGAGGTGCCTAAAGCTTTCTGGCCATGTCTATACATGTGTTTACACATGCATAAACTTAATGTGCATTAGCTTAATGCACATTAAGGTGGTTTATGTGCGTATCTAGATGAGCACATACTAACTCAGGTGCATGGACCAACTAGTCACTAAAGTTAGTCCCAAGTTAATGGACCCACTGCATTAATGTACTTTAGCACATCTACACGATCGCTAATGTGATTTAGCTATTTGCACATAAATTTGCTACCTGCTTTATGCCATTTTTAAGGTGTATTAAAGGGTTGCACATGTAGATCCACACCCTTAATGAGCCTTAATTAGGGGTAATGTGCATGAAATGTTCACATGTAGACATACCCTCCATGTTTCTTTATATCACTCTTCTGGGGCCAGGAACCCAATTTTGTATGTGTTGTGATACCTAAATTGGAAGCATGGAAGGAAAAAAATAAATTTTTCCCTATGCCTATCAGAAGCTGGCAATTATATGGTAAGGAGAAAAATTATATCATTGTTCCTTGACAATGAGTGCATTATATTTAGGGTTCTTAAATATGTTGTTGTTAATTATTAAATCATTGGTATGCCAGGCTTGATTACTACTGTATTTGCATACCACAGATCGCCATGTAAGTCACACACCTTATTTTCAGAAGGCAGAATGTCTGATCACTATTATAATGGGTCATAACAATTCCATTAAAGCTAAACAGTGGGTGGAAAAAAAATCAAAAGAAAAAATAACTATATTGTTTTCGTCTGTTCCCCAGTGAACTCTGTGCACTGGTTTTTGTTCTACTTTGAGCTCCAGTGAGCAAGGCTGTGCAAAGGGAGCATCTCACAGGTTCATGGATATAGCCTTCTCCTCAATCAGAGGCCATATCACCAGGCAATCTGGTTTGCCAGGGCTTTTGCAAATATCCTGTCATCAACATTATATAGCAAAATATGAGAAACATTTTCAGTGATACTACTTTTATTATTAATATAATTTATTTCCATTTATAAAAAATGAAAATGTTCCTTATCCATAGCCCCATGAGCATGAACAACCTTTACAAAACACAATTAATTAATACAATTATAGTTATGTCTCTGAATGTGGGAGGAAACACTTTCTTTATTGAAGAATGAGAATATGGTTTCAGCAAGGTAATATTATATCTTTATGTTTAAAGGGAATTCAATACTCACCCGATCTGAGCCTGATGTGTTAGTGAAATGAGATCATCAATTACTGTCTGCTTTTCTTCTTGAGGTAATGCTTATTTAAATTGTTCGTGATTTCTTTTGACAGTTTGAGCAAATGCAATTTTCATAAAAAGGATTTTTACTGCTTTCAGTTCTTGCTTCAATATATAATTTCTAATAGAATTTTTAAGACTTTGGCTATTTTTTTATTCTTTAACACCCTCTGATGTGGATGCACTCAGACTGCTGCATTTTAGGACTTTTCACTACTGGGGTTTGATTAAATGTGCTATTGGTCATCTCCGTTTATTCCAAATCTGGAAAGTCCCTTTTAAGCACAAGCATTCCAGTTTTATCTGTCTGTCAAGAAAAGCTCATTTTTCATTGGTTTTCTTTTTCACTAGTAAAGGGAGGGACAGCTTTATAAAGAGCTTTGCAGTTATCCATAAATGATAATGACGAGTGTCCATCAACCACCCTAGAGGCCACAATACCTCCTCATTGCTTTTTCCAAATGAACACACATCAACAGCATGATGATACAAAAGATACAAATAAAAGTTTCCAGCTAAACATTACTAGTGTTCCCTAAGTATCTCAGTCTTGTCTGCCAGTGCAGAACAGATTATCCTAAATAAAGTGCAATTCTTTGTGTTCAGGAAACAAATCGTAACAAATTGTTTTGCATACTAACTTTGCTAGGAAATAAATACATACATTCTCAACCATTCAGATGCCATTGCAGTTCTAGTGCCACACAGCATCACCTCATTGTGTCAGTTGATGTGCTGCCAAAAAAGGGCAGTGAAGGCAATACATTCAGAGGTATAAAAAACCTTCAGTATCATACACATTGGGTGTTTGTTTTCAAGGAGGACCTGAAAATACTAATTTAGTATTCTGTGCCAAAATTTGCCTGAAGGATGGGAAAACTTCCAATTGGACAAAGGTTGAAATAATTGAACTATTTAGAGAAGGGATGTGTCATGTGTATGCAGAATAATAAATTGTAGAGGAAAGATAGATTAGGCACATATATTCAATATTTTCATAATGCAAAAACAAAGGGATGAGACAGTGAATGTTCATACTTACGAAATTCATTTTGACAAAACCATCCAGGGTTAGACTTGTTTGGATTAAAAAACAAATAGTTTGGAGCAGATATGGAGGCTCATGTTTATGCAAATAACGTAACCTCTAAGTAAGGGGTTTAGAATGAAGTGTTCTCTATGGACAGGTTACTCTATACTTCCTACTGGAAGGTTTCTTATACTGTGCTGCAAAGCATTCAGTTTTGGCCACAGTAGGAGGGTAGATATTAGAATGTGGGTCTGGTATAGGATAGCAGGTTCTTAGTTCCTAATCTTCTAACAGCTTCAGGGCATTCTGCCCTGAGTTTCCTGATTTCAGTATTGGGTATTTTTTTAAATTAATTGTTATTAATATGAAAGTGTGTGTAGTTTGACAATCAGTAGCACAGGTTTGGTATGCAGTGCTTTGCAACTGTCTCTGTGTCATTTTGCATTTGCTTTATCAACCAAACAGGTGTCTGTTTGTGTTTCTGAAATAGACAAGCAAAGGTTTAAAATCATGATGAATATATTTAAATATCCACAGGTGTCAGAAAACATTGACAGTCATTCTTATGCAATATCAAGAAATCAAATTAAAGCAGTTGTTCTGAAATGGATGCCTCAGTATGGTTATTAATGATATCATCTCTACAATCATAACTTTCCTTGGTCATGAAACCCATTACACACTGGCTGCTACATTGATTCTCCAATGGCATGAATCTTTATGGCTGCAGGGTAACTACATACCTTTCTCATGTTTGCTGTACTGTGGGGCAAATATAGATACTACCTCATTCAGGGATGGTTTCTAAATCAATGCCAACCATAGCATAATTATTGGTACTATTCTAAGCAATTTGTTTAGCTGGCTTAACTAACCTGTGATGGCATTGACTCTGCAGAACTGGCCTAAGCAAGACATTGTCACTCAGTTTTAACTCTGTCCTAACTGAAATAAAGTCATATTCTGGGTTTACCAGAGTGACATAGCAAATAAAAAATGACTGTGTGAAAACAAATTCATAGCCCTGAGCACTACTGCTACTTAAGGCACATTTTTCATAAAACCATGGATGTACCAGTAAGCACTTCTGGGCAGGCATCTACACATGCAGAGAAGTAGGAGCAGATTTGCTGCTAATCGCAGCAAACTCCTCCTGCTTCCTGAGGCCCTGAAATGGGCCCCTGCCACCACCAGGGTCAGCTCTAGGCTCCTCTGGGGTGCTACACTAGGGCCTGGCAGGGAGCACTGGGCCAGGAGACAGCTGTCTCCTGGCTGGGGCTGGGACATGATACCCTGTCTCCTAGAGTTGCCTGCTGCTGGGGGGTGGGTGATGTCCCCCTGCCCCTGTAGCAGGGAGCTCCTGGCCCTGGCTCCCTGATCAGGGGCAGGTCCCAGCCCCCTGCCCCAAACCAGCAGTGGGGCAGATAGCAACTAGCTCACTGCTAGCTGCCCCACAGGCAGATTGGGGTAAGGGGCTGCAATCGACCCCACCCCTGCAGCTCTTTCTAATATCTATGCCTTGATCACCCTATTGGGGCATGGGGCTGAGACCTGCCCCAAATCAGGACAGTTCCTAGCCTTCACCCCACATTCAGGGTAGAGGATGGGGAGTCTGTTCCTCACTCAGGTCTGCAAGTGTTGAGCAAGGTAGGAAACAAGCTGGGGAGCTCGTTCCCTGCTGAGCTCTGTGAGCAGGCAGCTGAGGAGGGAAGAGGCTCTGGAGCTTGTTCCCCCCTCAGCTCCACTAGTGCAGAGCAGGATGGTGAAAAGGCTGGGGAGCTTGTTCCCCGCTCAGCTCTGGAAGCGCAGAGCTGGTGGGGAAGAGGCTGGGAAGCATGTTCAGTGTGGGGAACAAGCTCCCCAGTCTCTCCCCTTCCCAGCTTCATGCTCTTGGAATTAGGTGGGAAATAAGCTCCCCAGCTCCTGCTAGGAGGGAGCTCCCAGCATCAGCTCTGCACTTTTGGGGCCACACTGGGAGACCCTTATCTCCCACGGTTGTGGGGCTGGTGCTGGGAACCCCAATTGCAATGGTGGAGTGGGGGCTGGGACATAAGGTTCTCTCAACCCCTGCTCCCCAGTCATAATCTTGGAGCTGGGGGGCTTGGAGCTCCCTGCTGCTGGGGCAGGGGGACATAGTCCCCCCCTGGGCTTCGGTGGTGGAGCCCACCCTGGCAGCAGGCAGCAAACTGGTGCAGGGAACAATCTCCCACCCCCTGGTGGATGGCTGCCTGGGAGCAGATTTGCTCCTGATCTACATGAGAGCTACTGCACCATTTCTAATCAAAAGTAAATTTGCTACTTGCAGGTAGCAATTTTACTCATTATTAGTGAGGTTTACTGCGTAGTAGGCATGTGCAGACATGCTTACTGCACAGTAAACTATGCTACTGCGCAGTTAAGAATCTCATGTAGATGCTCCCACAGAGTGGTTAGTTCTGTCAGCTATTCTCCCTCCCTCCTGAGCCATGTACAAATATAAATCTTACTCTCAAGCCTGAACTCAACCCTTGTGGGAATTTTAAAAAGACAAAGGCCTTTTTACATCTATGCATCAGTGTAGCCAGTTGGGATGGATAGGCCAGGATTGTCTGCACAACTTCTGGGGCTCACATCTGACAGAATCCTGTTTTGCTTCCTGCAGATTTGGATATGCATTTGGTTGTGGTAATTTGGTACTGTGATCAGAATATACAGTTGTTCTCAGTAAGTAGACACATTGGTTAGTATCCTGGAATATGATTTTGCATATATTTTTACATGGCAAATGAAGAATAATGAAAATATTTTTATCTCCTGAATGCAAACATTTGGAATGAACAAATCAAACCAATATATTCTACCACCAAGGAAAGCTACAGTGGTTTACTAATGAATATGTAATGCCTACATTAACATTTTTATTAGGCTCAAGTCATCATTTTGTTTCACAGCCATAAACACAGTGGACCATGCATGAAATTACTACTTTTTCAAGAGAATGAGTTGCGTCACTAGTTGTAAAGGCTGTAAACCTTTGCTTAACTACTGTGCTTGTTGCTCTAATAAGTTTCTTTGCTATAGCTTTTCTTTTCTATTAGCTTGGTACCATATAGTGTGTTAGTAATGACTCTAGCATGTTTTAGGATAACTCATTTATTTAACTAACATCAAGAAATAACTGATTCAGTGATCATGGTATTAATTCTGCTGTAACTGATCTGAGAGAAGTTCCTATTCTTGAATCTGAAACTGTCTGTATGTGAGAGTCTGAGGTGGTTCTCAATTCTGGAATGCACACAACGTGTGACAATTTCCTGATGAGACTTTTAACTCTTTGCAGCACAAGCATCACCTATTTATTCTGATATAGCTGTGGCTTGTCCTACCTGCAGGACTTTCTACATTTAAATAAATAAATGAATAAAAGTGTCATGGGTAGGCAAAGAGGAAAGAATTACTTCATGTTGGACAAGAATTTCACAACATTACCTTCATGGATATGACATGTGGAAATGATGAGACATATTGTACATTTTGAATTCCAAGGAGTTTGCAGGGAGATACTAAAGCCATAGCACTATGCTGAAGCTTCATATCTGGAGAGCAGTTCACAGATATGCCCACAGTTCTGTAGTAAGTCACATTCATATTTCCAATATTATCCAGCACCCAATATTTCACTGATACTCATCCACTCTTCTGTTTCTTCAAGTCTAACGTATCATGGAGTTTTTGAGAAGAACAGTTTCTAGATGGAACAATGTCTTAAACAAAGGTATTTCATCAGGATTTTTTTTATGTTTTGGTTTGTGAAAAAAACCTGCAAGTGCATTTATATGTTCATTTTGAGTCTGGGCCATGTGAGAGACCTGTTAGGATCCTCTTTATTTTCTGGATGTGATAAGTGTACACACCCAGTGTATACAGAAGAGTGAATTCTCTTTTTAACTTGGAAATGTTATGCAGTATCCTGCAGAAATGGCAGGAACTAATGGCAGGCCACTAAAAAACAGGGACATCTAAGGTGTCTTGGCAACTCCTCTGTAAAGGAATCAGGGGGAAGAGAAAAGTAAGGATGCACCAAGACTGCTGAAAAAAGGCATGCATTTTTGTGAAACAAAACCAGGAGTAAAAAACAGAAAGGGACTGATGGTCTGATTTGCTTGTTGTTCTGTAAAATTTTGGCTGAGGAAAGACACCTGGATTTCTTGCAGCACTAAGCCTAGGGAGTAAAGTAAAATACAGATTTTTTTTTAATTTATTTTTAAAACTTGTCTAAAATGAAGTGCACATGGCCTCTTGCTTGGCCAAGAGGCTGAAATATGATAGCAGAGAGTGTCTGTTTAGTGATGATTGCTGATCCCATTAGTTGTTTGCTTTGATCATATAACTCAGAACGGGGTTATAAACATCCACCAACATCCAGCTAATATATAGGTGTGTGAAAAAAGGTGAGGTTGCTCATATAAAGGAATACATTTTTCAAAATTGAGGGGGAGTTCAAAGTTCTTTCAGGGAATCTTTAAACGCTGTTCTCTCAATTGCTTATGTTACACTGGCAAAATCATTTTGAAAATGTGAAAAGAAGGCAAAGTTTTCTCAACAAAAGTGAGAAAAATTTGTTTTGATTTGGTTTTTTAACATTAAAAGGTCTCAAGTGATCATTGTTTCAATTAATGTAATGTAAGCAATTGACATATTTTAAGGAAACTCAGATCAAAATAGCAATTTTGTTGGAGTGTTTTTAGTTGAAAAAAATCATCCTTGTAGCCTAACTTACCCTTACCTTACAGATGCATTCAGAGGAACATATAGGTACTGGTGAGAATGATCCTGACATGCTGCTTTTGTTTCAGATTAATGAAGGATCATGAAAAACAGGTACAGAAGAGGTTTTGCAGCTATAATTGATCTGCCTGCCTGCCTGTATGTGGATTGTAACTACAGTAGGATTAGAAGTGCTGGGTTTGATGTCAGGAGTCTTATTACTCACATGATTATTAATTATGTCTCTCAACCAGGGAAGCTGAGTAACAAGGCTCAGGAGATTTGCCCCTTTCTGACTCTGATATAGCATCAGCATGCCCTCTATCCTCAAAGGATCATTAAGGGGTCACGCTGAACCCTTTGAATTAGCAATAATAGAGCTCTTGCTGCAAACAGCAAAGTTGTCCAGTTCTGCAGGCTGCTCTCCCCAAGCTCAGAGGTTTGACATGAGGCACAGGGAGTCTCTGAATTCACGTCTCATGAGAAATAGGTGAAGGTTAGTAAATTTTGCTATCTGCATGCAAAATTAACGGGTATGCTCCTTTCTGCTATGAATAAGGAACATCCACACCTAAAGGGCTGTTGACTTGTTCTATTAGGAGCAATGTTATTCTTCAGTGTAACAGCATTTAAGCTCATTGACAGGCACAGCAACTGTCCACATTTGTCATATCACCTGATGTCGTCACCAGGCAAAAAAGCTAATGAAAGAATTAATTCATCAGGAATGCATGTAGATATAATGAATGCAACTCACACAGTTAATCCATCCACATGTACTGTGTGAGTAGACCATTGCTGATGTAATGAAAAACAACATAGGTACACAATGTAAACAGACCCTATCAGAATAGAATTGTCTGGACACACCTACACGGGATGCTATGTCGCCATTGTGACATGGTATGGCAACGTAGCATCCATGGGTGTCTACATATGACCCAAAAGGAAGTACTAAATCATGGCGCTGTAACAACATCAGTGTGGATGTTGTTACAACATGTAGATGCGCCCTCACAGAATGATGAAATCATTATTCTTCTGTATACTGCTTATAGTAGTACCTGCAATCTGTTGCATAAAAATCCAATATAGTGGATAAGGGACATTCCACTCATTTTATGATAGGGAATAACGTGGATGGAAAATAATTGACAATGCTTCAAGAAACGAGTTCATGATGTCCACAGACTGACTGTGTGCACTTGTCCTGTGCTGCATTCATTCACAGGTTCATCCTTAAAAACAAATATCTAGAAGTGTGCATGTCCTAATCAAGATTACTGTTGTTTCCCAGCAGCAGGTGCCACCTGCCAGTTCCATCAAACCAGAAGATTTACTGGACTGTACAGTTCAGTGGGTTGCCAAGGGCCATGTCACTACAAATGAGTGTATTGTCTGTGCAGTTTGCTCAAATGTCTAGCATACCATACAGCAGCCTGTTTACTACTAGTGCCCAAGAGCTGTGATATTGGGTGGTTAATAAGAATATTCAACTAAATTCCCTGCATCTCTTTTATTTAAGTTTTGTCATACAATGCATCTGAAAACTACATTAATCAGAGATGTGTCGTGTTATAGAACCTGACAGCATGCTGCTGACTCTTCCATTTGAACATTATTCTGTGGCCACATCTCAAAAAGGAAACTTGCTGAAGAACTGCAACATCTGCTGCTCATGTCCATCAGAATGACACCATGAACTTATTCATATGACATTATAGATTTGCTCCTATTATCAAGCTATTACCACAATGCTGATATTATGCTTGGCTCCAGGAGGCCTATTTGACCTTTAATGTATAATCATCAGTGATATTGCACATGACTTCTCAGGAAGGACTTATGCATAAGCCTAGAGCAAATCTGGGCCTTTTTGTTTTGCTCATGTCAGTGTCATGGTAATCAACATTGACTCTTCCAGACTACTGGGGCCCACCAAACACTTGTCTCAGGTGACTTATTAAGATGCTTTGCCAAGGTAGGCTAAATTCCTGCTTCATTTTATCTTTTTGTGATAAGAAGATACAGCTGCAGGCTCTGTGAATCTGAACTGACTCCTTCTGTTCAAAAACCTACTCTTTAAATGTTTCTGTGGGGCTTGTGTAATGACAAAAAGCACAATGGCTACATGTGCTTGTCACTAGCTGCTATATTGATAAAGTGGGACGACATAAAAATAAGCATTTATTCTTGCACCCCATTTCTATTAATATTTCATCTGTGTTGGAGGGTGTCAGAACCTCAACATGATCAGGTACAACCCACACGGTGGGTCTCCGCCCATGTTCTCACTGATCTTCTTTTGATTTTCAGAAACTCTCTAGTCACACACTTTCCACATCCCACCAATTGTACTTTAGGGATTTAAACATCATATTCATTAACCCACAGAGACTTGAGGTGAGAGGTCAGCTTGCACCAGATGGTTTTCTTTTTGTGGAAGCAAGTAGTTTCAGGCTTTTTAAAGCCTTTCATTTTTTCATACCCTTAAATTTCAGAATATATTAAAAAATTGACCTCTTGTCCTGTAAAAACTGTCCCCACCCTACCTCACTCCTTGTTTTTGCTTCTAAATGCATTAGCTGCCTGAGTCTGAATTTGCTTCTTATTAAAATTAGCATTAGGAACTCAGAGGTTATTTATCTCTAATTGCCTGTGCTGGATGAAGACATTTCTGTTTGCACCTGGCTGTTACCTAATTTCATTTTAGTTGTGTTGATTTTGATTGGGCCTAATTTATTGTTTGCTGCTCAGCAATTTTCATGCTTTTGATCACTGAAAGCTGGTCAGTACTTACATTTTCAAATGTAAGTACCTGCCAGTCAGTCCCCTGTGATCTGGGATATCCATTAGTTGCCTGATTCCCAAATAGCTGGGCACCATTTGTGCTGTTCAGTATATGATCCTGACTCCAGGTAGATTGCAAAGTGCAACCACATTTGTACACTTGTAAAACTGTGACAGGTAATCATGACTGGAAAAAAGACCTGCAGTCAAAATTGAACTGTGGCCGAACTTGACTGGAAAGAATCATTGTACTTTGACAGAAGAGGGAAATGTACATATTTGCTGGAAAGGTACAGTTGCTTAAAGATATTGAAAAGGCTTTGATTACTGTAGGCTTTGTACATTTGTATATTGGCAAGATTAGCCTTAGCAACTGGCTGCAGCATGAAAGAGATAAGAAGCACATTTGTATTATCCTGCAGAGAACGCTGATCTTTTTACTAGTCTTGTGGATTTTAGGTATGAACAGAATATGTTGAACCATCTTTGATATCTTTATGTGCCACTGAGTAGAAATTGTAATGGACATTAGATACATAATAATAATGGGAGCTGTTGCTGCTTTATGCATTCAGAGATCAGAACTGGCATACATGCAGAGTGTATGCCTGCGAATTAATGCCATGGAAGCAGCTTAGGAGGGGTATGAACTAAAACACCATTGCTTTATGCACTGACGCATCAGTTGCATACCAGAAGCCCTTTGGTGTACTAATTCTACACCTGCCAGTAACTGCTTCCTGGCCGACATGCATACACTCTGGAATATACAGGAGCAGAATGAACATGAGCTATACTGTTTGAAAGAGAATGTGTTGGCCTGGGATTTGAGTACTGGGCATGAGTGATCAGAAATGCCTCCAGAGATTTCCCCTGGAAGGATCAGTATGCCATTTTACGGATCTTTGTATCCTTTGGAGACCTCGGCTTGAAAGCCAGGCACATCACACAAGCTGTGCCACGCTGACAAAGAAATCCTTGCTGCTCTGTCTGTTCTTGCCACTGGCTCATTCCAGAGAGTCAGTGGAGCTAACTCATTAGTGTCTCAATCTCTTCTATCACAAAATTGACTTGACTTTGTAGAGGCCCTTCTGGTTCACCCTGCAAATTACAGTCACTTTCTTGAGACCTGGAAACCAGTTACATCGTCTCAAACACACACACACACACACACACACACAGAGTCACTTTCTTGAGACCTGGAAACCAGTTACATCATATCAAACACACACACACACACACACACACACACACACAGATGAGCACAATATATGTATGCTTTCTGACTAACTAGATTTTCAACTACATTAAATGTACCCGCATTTCAGTCAGGAACCCATTTTAGGGAGAAGCACAAATAGAAAACATTTTACAGCCTTAATACATTTGCATGCATGCAAATGCAAAGCATGTTGATCTCACAACCTATTGCCTTTTAAATAGCTGCCACCTGCTTTTGCATAGGAGTGCTCTGTTATTGCATCAGTAGTTTACATTTTTGTAACAACAGCTACACTAAAGGAAATTTTGAGACCTACCATAATAATTTTTAAATGCACCTCATATGCCAGCTCAAAGAAAATCCCACAGGAAAGGGAGAAATCTTGGACACTAGGATCCTATCGCATTTGTTGTTAAATTGCCTGGCAGGTCCTTCTTATTTAGTATAGTTATTCAGACATGAGAGTTCTTTGAGACATATATCAAAAGGTGCTATATGAAACAAAGTCGGGCCTCTTATGACTGCTGTGTTTCTCGCAGATGACAGCCACATCCCTGACAACCTTTGGCATTTATCCTAGTTCAGCACCCAAATGAATGAAGGTGGTTGCAGTGTGTGGCCTTCTAATGCCCATCCACCTTGCTTCATCAACTCTCCCATCTTGCTTATGTGTCACTGTTAGCATTTACCCCAGTTTGCTTAGATTTACTGAATCCATTCATACCTCTTTCATGCAATTTAAGAGAGGCAGTAGTTTCTGTCCAACAGTTGTATATTTTTTCCATGAACATCTTGCAGTCAAGCCTCCTTTATGCTGTAGTCTAGAATGTCCCCCATAAACCATATCCCAATTCAATTTTTAATCCTATCAATCAATCTAGGAAAGGAGGTAAGTCTCCCATATGGATCTGTCTTCTCTCATTTAAGGAAAAGTCTTAAGATGGATAGCAATAGCCTTCTTCCTATTATTTGCTGTGGATGACAATTTTGGGGCAATCCAACTTAATTTAAGCTGGTCTTGCTCAACACAGTGACATTTGTATTGCACATATCCATAGGAATTTCCTTCCTTTTGCATGATTATTGAAACCGTCCTGCATTCCACAATATTATGTTTACTGTTGCAGACATATTAAGAGATCAGCACACAGTGTTAGTGTCATATATACGCCTTTGTAATACTCAGATTTAAAGCATCCCAACAAAGTGCAATTGCAAAAGTTTAAAATTAAGATTTTACTTTTAATCCCCCCCCACACACACATGCTTATAATTTATTTCTATATTATATCACAATATAAACAGGAAAACATTTTGAAGAACTTTCTCTTTCTAGTTCATTCTCTGTCTTTTTACACAATCTACTTATTGCCTGAAACCTAGTACTGGTATAACCTATGTCTTCACAGTTGTTGTTTTTTAACTAATTGAACTAATATTTAGGATTAAGTGTAAATGTTTCTCTCTTTAGGAAATTGCATTTATAGGGAAGGATTTTCAAAAGCACTTAATTTTGGCTGAAATCTACTTCTACTGATAAAAAAGGTAAAACTTTATTTGACTTCAGTGGGCGTCTCCACGCAGGCAGGCATGTGGGCTTGCAGCAGCTCAAATAGAAGTGGTGCAAATTTGAGCCAGGGCTTTTTGCCTTTGTGCATGTGCCCAGACATGCACTTTGGTGTGGGGCAAGTTGTGCCACTTGGAGCAAAATAACCCTGCCTGGATTCTCCTGGATCTACAGCCGGGGGAGCTACAGCCTGGGTCCAGCACCTGTGCTCCCCTGGCAAGCAGTGTAAAAAGCTGCCCTGGCAAGTAGCTCAAGGGTTCTGGGGCTCATCCCAGTGAGTTCTGAGGGGGGAAGTCCCCTTTCCCAAGACCCTGAGACAAGAATTGATGCCACCCCACTGCCTCATGGGTCTCCTCTTTTCCCCACCCCCTCAGT